CATGATGTTGTTCGTAGAAAAAGACCAAAAGCTAGCCCTAAAAGAGAATTTTATTTGTGATGATTTGTGTTCTTGATTTGTAACCGGGCTAGTTTATTTATACACAATTTTTTTTTGAAATAAGGAAATCAGGTACGTACAGTAAAGGTGACTATTAGGAAATTTTCCTTTAAACAAAACTATCATCGAGTGTATCGGGAAGTTTTCCTTTACATATAAAAAAGAAAATAAAATAAAATAAAAAGAAGAAATTATGATTAAAAAGCTAGACAATCTTTATTGAGAAATTTCCTAAAATCTAATATGCCATGAATTAACTCATTCACTTGTATCTAATAAAATAAGCACCAAATTATTAGTTACTTTTTTGCTGTTTATAAATAAATTAATATCTTATGTCGAACAGAAACGTGCAAATTACTGAATGGGTCTTTCTAACATACAACCCAGAAAAATTACTGCATACCCCAAAAAAGTTTCGGTGTTGAAAGTTTTCGTTTGCCCAAGATGGCAGCGGGAGACTAAATCAATGACTAATATGTAGCGTTTCATGTAATTCATCGGAAGTAGTGAACTATTCAAGGACAAAATGTTGGTGATTTTTAGTTGACTTTGTAATCTACCCATTTGATTTGAGCGTTGGGGGTCGATGTTCAAGCGTTAGCAATATAGTGTTTTCAAAAAAAAAAAAAAAGAGAGAAAAAAAGAGGTGTATATATATAGTGACATTTGAGCTTTGCTCTATGATAAAAGAAGGCAGCTGGCTCAAGATTAGTACTACAAATTAAAGTCGGTACAAGTAAAGCGAAATTACGGTAATAAGGTCAAAGTGTGAACAAAGAGATCGATGGAAGGAGATGTAAATAAGAAAAGTATCCTAAAACTGTCATAAAAATATTTTTTAAAAAAAATCATTAAAAAAAATGTTCTTGTGATTATTGCCCAGTTTATTTATTCATTATTTTTTATCATGTTCTTGTGATTGATTGATCACAAATAATATACATAGTTTCCTTAATTATATAGTGTTATTGTGTATTAATTCTATGGTTTAAGTAATTTTTTAGTCATATACTCCCACCGTTCCATAATTATTGTCCAGTTTGGGTTTTCATTTCTAGTTCAAATTGTACTAAAAGTGAAAACTCAAAGTGGACAATAATTTTGGGACAGAGAGAGTATAAGAAATCCTCATGGAATAATTAATTGACTGTAATCTTTTTCGAATATATATTCTGCAGCAAACAGCTAATATCGTGTTTGTTTTCTTCTTATTCTAAGGACTACTTACAAAGTCGTGTTAGTTCAACTTTCGAAAAATGCCTCGCAGATTCTTCGGGGTGCAGATGTTTTGTTCTGAATCAGGAAGATGGCAAGACTTTTGTGTGCCTCGTGAAGGGGAGGTTTAGTTCACGTTCGACCCCGTCGTCGCGAATAACGGCGGTCTCTATTGGTTGGGTTTTTTTTGGGGACATTTTAGCCTATGATGCTTATGCTAACCCTAATAAGTTTCACACCTGATCACTACTATTTTCCGAGATCTTATGGTTGCAGTGTTGTTCAAGAAAGGTTCAAATATTTCCAAGTCGGCGACAAAGAAATTCACCCAAATTTTAGGATGTGGCGACTAGACTACTACTAAAGGATGATGATGATATTGATATATAGCTATCAGTGGCAGCTTGAGCTTACAATAAGGATATTGACACGGATCTGCCATTTGTTGTCACTCCTTATGATATGGCTCGATTTTCATATTGTCATCCATCCGATCCTGATATAATCTTCTTCTATTTGAAGGAGCGGGATTGTTTTGTGTCATACAGTGTTAAATCCAAGAGTATGGTAGCCCTTGATATTACCGCAATTTCTTATGTTTCGGAGCTGATGCATGAGATCAAAAAATTAAAAGGCCCTGACTGGTGAATTTTGTTCTGGCGAGCAGGCAATATTAATAGAGTGGACATGATCTATACCAAGCGATAATGCTTCGATGTTATCTTGGATGTTGTCTGCGGAAAAAAAAAATTAAGTAAAATAAAATACAGTCAATGAAGGGAACAGATTAGTTATGCTACAACTACTTTTCCCTTGATAGCAATTTTGTTTGTACTCCCTCCGGTACTTATTATAAGGCATTTTGATTTCGTTCTAGGTTTTAATATATGATGTCTTTTTAATTATAAAAAAAAATCTTAAAAGTATATTTTTACATTCGTTGTGTTCTCCTAATTATTATGAAATATTTTTAAAATTTTTATTTCAATTAAAAAGACATCGTAGATGAAACCTAAGATGAAATTAAAATACCTTATAATAAGGACCGAAGGGAGTATTAGTTTCAAACTTTTGGTCTAAGGGATGGCGATACTGATTGCATAAGAAATTTTCATTGCAATGGGTTAAACGAGATGAAGATTACGGCGTTCATCAGTTGATTTTTTCTCTCTTCTAATCCTGTTTTCTATGGTTTGCATCGTCTTTTTATATTTATTAGAATTTTTTTTATTTTTTTTATTTTTACGAGTAATTCCCTTGGTAGAATATATGCATCTTCCAGTCCATGATAAGTGGCACAAACGGATTGACATTAACTGAGTTTCAACAATTATTATGAAAAAAGAACATTACGGATGTTAACGAGGCTGATATAATTGAGGGTATACCTAGTGCTAGAATCGAGGTCAGAGTTGGTGACCAACGGTTTTGATTCCGAGACTTCTGCCTGAATGTTAAGGAAAACAAAATCAATGCAAAACTCAACCGTTCCAGAACAAAATGCACAAGTTTATTACACAGTTTTCTTCTTTGAGATAGTACTAGTTCTTACTGCATTCTGTGGAATGTGTCAGCTTTGAACTAAAAATAATCAAACTCAAAAACCATAAATTTCTATCCTATCTTGTCGATATTGGAAAATATGGTTTAATTCGTTAAAGAAGATATTGTTTCAAATTTAAATAATTTGATTTTTCTTGATTCGAATGTATATCTACCTTATCTCAGTAAATCTCATTTTCAGGTCTCTCCTATCAATCTGATGAGTGTTCAGTGAGATCTTTCAATTAAGCAAAAAAAATCTCCCTCTCTTGATATTTAAGGATTATAATCATATTTCCGTTTTGGTATCAACAGACAACGCTCCCAACCAATCGAGAATTTGGTTCGGAAGTATATAAAAACATATCCTTTCTTTGAAAAAACCCATAGTTAAAGACAAATCTACGGGTTTCATTCAAAGTAACGTTTCCTAATACTCCCTCCACTTCAAAATGTAAGTCGTTTTAGATTTGGAGAAATATTTTAAAATGTGAGTCGTTTTAGGTATTCAAGGCAAATTAAAGATTAACTTTCTAATTTTGTCTCCCAATAAATAATGCTAACCAATTTTCATCTAGTTTTAGTTATAGTTTCAAAACAATTAATGAAGGGTAAAATAAACATTTAATACATAAATTAATCATTAAATGATTGTCTCCTTGATTATGTGTAGAGGTTAAAAAGACTTACATTTTGAAATGGAGGGAGTAACGATCTTCATTAATTGTTTTTCTCTTTTCCTCTCCCGCTTTTATTTCTTTGAAATTTACAAGTTTGTGTTTGACACTCTTCTTGGCTTTTTATTTTCATGATCTGACTAATGAATCATTACTCATTGCACTTTTTTTTTGGGAGAGGGGGTGGACATGAATTGAAATTGTTCAATCAATTGATTTTGCAGGAAGGAACGATTTGTCGTACTTGGCTAAATCCATCAATTTCTAACCTTCCCTATTCTTCTAAAGAAATGGGTAATCCATCGAAAATGTTATGTATATACTACTATATACTACTGATTAAGAATTTTCATTTCAAGGTTCAAAAGAATAGAAGTTCTTAGTGTTTGCAGACGATAAGAGAGCATCCTTTTCATCAGTAATTTTGCCTCTTCAGATCCTATGATCTCCATAGCAAAATAATTTTACCTCCATCACATCCTCCAAAAAAATAAGTTTAATTTCTACTGTACAACTGCGTTTGAGAAAGGACTCTAATTCTCGGAATTAAACTTTAATGTGGTCGTGTAAACAACGTTGAGTAGCATTGCTACTGCTTCGAAATAATCCAGTCCCTAAAATGATCTTTGAATAACCAGCTGCTGCCGCGCCCTGATTCTGTTATTGATCATGTTTCTATATACCTTTGTTAATTCTTTGTTCAGGTAATCCCTTTGTTATTATAATCATTATTTTTGGTTTTTCCTATGATGCTAAAGACTTGACGAACTGGATCAGAAGCAGAGACTACAAAACTTGAAGGAATGCGTGAACTGAATGTGGTGCAACAAAAAAAAAAAAACAACTATTTTGTTGATTGTCATCATGTACTATCTCCGTCGCATAAAAATAATCCACATTGAATTTTGAATTTTGAATTTTGTTTTATTTTTTTAGTACAAATTTAACAACTCAATGTGAATTATTTTTGTGGAACAGAGGAATAAGATATTGCAACTATATTGATTGAAGTCTCTGAATCGAATTGAATCAGCTTCATCCAGTTAGATTCATTACTATTATAAATTTAATCTGTCCCATGATCTTGTAGCCTCAATTTGTGCCGTGAAATTGAAATCTAGTGAAAGGCAAAATAATATTCATAATAATATACATAATAAAGTTAAAATGGAAATTCAATTGATTCCTATCCCGAAAAACCAGATTACCAATAACCAAACTATTCCAGATTTGAAACCAAGCAGCACTGTTAGGATTCATGAGTTCATCAGTATCCAAGAAAACCCATTCCATCAGTATTCAAAGCCATTTCTTGATTCCGTTTGCACAAGACAAAACAAAACAGCTGCTCAACTACTTTGCTCTCGTTGCATCTTCAGCCCATTTTCCTGGTAAAGATTCGTGTCATTATCATTCTCTCTTTTGTTCCATCAAGAAACATCTAGGAAAATGCTAAAGTTATCCTTTATATCAAAGAAATGAAATGAAAGTGAAGATTGTACCTCATGGTAAGTGCGGAATGGAGCCATTCTCCATGCTACCATCCACATTCCAGCCCCTGAGTCACAGGTAAGAGAAAATTATAGTCCATGAATATTTTTTTTAAAAAGCGAACTCACACGACACCTCACATTACCTTTCTGCAGCACGTTTCCTCATTTCCTCAATCTCATTGTCAAGAGCACTACAAGCAGCCTGGATTTCTGTGTTCTTCATGCATAACTCTCTCCATTGTGATGATAAAGCGTTAAGCTCGTACGCCGCATTTTGCTAATCAGTTAAACATGTGGAGAAGTTACTACTTACTATATGATGCTCAGAAACAAGAAAATAGAATGTAACTTAAGGGTTTAATTTCTAACCTGATGATATTTCCTTTCACGATTGACAGCGTCAATCTTTTCATTTAGTTTCACCGCTTGAGATTGTGTCCTGACAAGATGATCCAAGTGTTTCAAAAGCTATGGTAATTTAAGTATTTGTTTTTCTTAGAAAAAGACAACAACATAAACTGACTATTTTAGTGAGAAAAAAAATACTAAGAACTTCCTCAAAATATTATTCGACTGAAAAGACAAAAGTAGAATGTCTCGTATTCTCATATACTTCATGTTAAAAGTACAAAATATTGCAAGTAATTGGAGAAGATCAACTTAATAACAATACTCGATGAACATAGATTATCATTTTCCCACTGCTTGCCACAAAGTAGACGCATCTTGCCAAGCAACAACAAATGAGATACACAAGACACAGCCAGAGGTATGGAATGTAAATAACTACGGTGTCATAAATATAACACATGCAGAGGTAATCTTGTAATCAGGGATAAGAAATTCATATAATAGTTGTTGAACTGAAAGTAGGAAATGCACTTGTTCAATGTGAATACCTGGACAATATAGCCTCCAACTTTTGGTTATACAGCTTCCACACCTCCGGACCATGCTTTGACATCAGGTCCAAATTTTCCAGCCTGAAGAAAACAATAATAAAGTTCAAACAAATGAAAAACATTTTTAGGGAAAAAGAGTCAAATGGTTTTCTTTTCCGGAACAATTTTAAGTGAGATCACAGAAAACTGAAAAATGTTTTCATATCCCCAACATAGAAATGACTACTAATTTGTTCCCTCTACACAAGGAAATGTTTGATAAGTTCCTCACTTCCATAATGAAATAAAAAGGATAGAGGACACCTCCAAGTACTTTGGAGGCCAGAAGCTCAAGAGTAAGTCTATTTCCTATACCTGATGTTAAGTTACATTGCAACCAATACCTAGTAAGGCACATCTTACAAAGCAAATCACGCACCTGATAACTTGATGCTGCAGCAAACGCTGACCTTTTTGCAGCGTTTGTTTCCATGCATTTTCATCATTTTGTTTGTTGCCGGCTGGAATTTCAAGTCCATATCTTGATGTGTCCATCTGAACTGGAGGCCTTCCTGCTCTCACCCTCTCATATTCCCTCGCAAGCATTGGATGATCCTAAACCAAATTGTAGAAGATAAAAGATTCAGCATATAAATGATATAAAATGACCCTGTGCATTTTTCCAGTAAACCTAATACAGAATCAAACAACGTTAGATCATGTGCACACATACTTCTAATAGGATACCTCTGACACAAACTGGAAGAAAAAATTCCACATTCAACAGGGGGAAAAAGAAGTATGAAATCCCTTTCAGGTTCCAAATCTAGGATTTCCAATCTTAGATAACAGACAACTTCCTTAAAGAATAATTTCCACCTGTGAAGTTAAATTCATGGTCTCCACAGTGTTTCCTTCGAATAATAAGCTTTGAAAGAGCCTAAGGTCCATCTTCAAGCTATCATCTTTATGTTTCCAGGAAAGCAGAGGTGAAATTCTCTAACTGAGCTAATAGTTAAATTCTTTAATTTCAACACAGTTTTACCAATTTCATTTATTGAAAAAGATACCAAATTCAATTAACTTTTCTACCAGATTGCCAACAATGAACTCTTCTGAATTAGTTTTCCAAAATACTAACCTCACAGCAGATATTTATCTCAATAGGCTCTTACAAATTACACTCTCACAGAGAGACAGAGAATTAATAAATGAATAAGAAAACATTGGTAAATAACAAAGAATAGGCCTTCAAACCCTCGCAAAGGTTTCAAGAGCACTAAAAAAATCAAACGTGAGTACAGAAAATGCAAAAAAGAATGACAAGAGAAGGATTATAAGAATAAATCCGACCTCGAAATTGAATTTTGGAAGCGGAGGGAGATCTTTGAGGAAATCGGAGGGCTTTTTGGAGCTCCGGCGCATCTCCAATTCCACCAGATGGTCCACCTCCGCTTTCACATTGGGGTTGCCATAGTCGTCGTCGATGTAAGGGAGAGCGTCAATTACTTCAGCTCCGGTGGACCAAGCTGGACGAGCCGATGGTGGAGCTTCCAGCATCAGAATGTCTCCGTTCGCCGCCGTGGATGTCGCCATTGTTTCAGCCTCGCTAAAAACCCAGGCTTCTTCTCTTCTTCCAAGTCCAAGCTTATACTGTTTAAAACACAGAAAATAAGAAAATTTATTTATTACTCTCTGCTCCTTCATTTGATAATTTATTTTCAATCAATCCCTTGATTTTAGTTCATACAGCAAAGTTGGAGAAATTAGAATAGGAATTGTAACAAAATCCTACCATATTGTAATTTGTAAATTACATTATTTGTAGTAAAATTCATAAATTGTAATGCGAATTATTTTTTCAAATCTGAATAAGTACCATTTTTACGATTATAACGAATCAAAAATTATAATAATCTGGATTATAACCAATTTTTTTTTGCTAATGACTATAACCAATGTTTAACGTAATACTCTACCTTCTTTCTTTTGAGTCATTAAATGGAATTACGGGTTGCAGGATGTTTTCTTATGCTCATTCGTAAGTGAAAAATTTGTACCTTTTGGTCCGAATTTATTAACACCCAAAATAGTTCATAATTTGCGTCTTATAATTAGGACCGAAAGAAGTGTTAAAAACCGAACAGATTAACCCCATCAACAACTACAAAAAGCGAAAAATCACTCCTCCAAATTTAGTTTAGATTGTGCTTGGTAGATATAGTTTTCAGGGAACTATGATATATTCATAACGCCGAAAAACAAATACTCCCTCCGGCATTATAAAACATGGATTTTTCGCTTGGTGACTTAAGGGTTGATAGTTACTCCCTCTGTCCCAAAATTATTGTCCAGTTTGAAATTTCATATTAGTACAATTTGAACTAGAAATGAAAATTTAAACTGAACAATAATTATGAGACAGAAAGTATATGACTGGAGAATTTTTGTGCGTATTAAAAAATTTTCTCCTTCCTTTTCAAAAAAAAGAATCATAAAAAGCTATATTCTCAACAAAATGGAGTTCCTCCTTTATCAATCTGCCATTAGACAATGGAAATGGAGTTCCTCCTTTATAAATCTGCCTCTAGAGAATGGAAAATACTATATAGGTAGTTTAAGGTTCATCAATGGATTTAAGGTACAGTGTCGTACATTTTCCCCTCATAAATCAATAGATTTTCCGGCAGACCAGACTTTTGTCTTCAGATTTGGTCTTTCCTGTCGTCAGATTCACATGATTTTGTCCACATAAAGATAAAAGATCAGACCAGGAATCTCCAAAGCCTGTAATAATTTAAGGATACATGTGTAGCAAAGGTTCCTTGAATGAAAAGACAAATGACGGAAGAATACTTTTCCTTCAAACCATGCGAGAAACAAGGGGCTAATTATCAGACCTTTTTACATATTTATAAGTCCCTCAAGACTTCATTGACAATATATTCGGTTCCGAATGAATGTGCTTTGAAGGAAACCATTCCAGTTCAACCAAGATGGAGTTGGAGATCGATCTCTGCTGCTGACTCATTGGTTCATGAACACATCAGTTTTCACACTAGTCATTTTGAGGGACTTAATGAAGCCATGCAAAGAAGAGCAAGAGGCTGTGTTTCTGATCCAATGATGCAGGAGCCGAGTTCGATTGTGCCTGTCTTGTATTGGACTGAAGGGTTTCCTTCCTTATTTCATTCCTGGAACTAGCCCTCTCCTCTTTCTAACTTCCATTGGGTCTTGCTGTAAGAAACCAGCTCTAGATAACATCTAATACAACCACTATCTATAGAGAAAAGCATCATCTTTTCTTGCCTCCACAAGGTCAGTTTCAGTGTCATTGCTACTGTCCTAAAGGGGAGAGCATGAATAAGAAATGATTGCTATTCTTTCACGATGGTACGTTTTCTCTTTAACATGTTCTTCTGCTGACTCATAGTCTTACACAGCCTTGCATAATGAAGTGTAAGGATCCCATAGCAATAAAATCAAATGTAACAAACACACAAGGCCGGACTTGCATCAATTATAACTCCCTTGTTCTTAAGCTCAACATCTAATATTCTAGAGAACTCATACAACTCACATAAAATTACATTAATGTTTTCTCTGAGGCAGGAGAATTTAACCAAGGAATTTGCATCAATCAGCTACACTATTAAACGGCATGCTTGAGTACAAAAGAGTGAAAAATAATTCAACTTCTGGTATGTTTCTGACGATTTGAATGTACCTCTGCCTACTGGGTTCCTCCAGCATATTCTGCCCCATCTGAGCAATTCGAGGTATAAGTTTTGCTAGGGGAATTCCAGATTGGATATCTATTTCCTCAACTACAGCATCCACCAGTACTCTCAATGACACGTCAAGTATATTCCCGAACTCAGCACTAAAAAGAAAGACGGGATAAAATCAGAGTATGTTCACAAGTATCCATAAGTAGAATTGCAGATGGATAATCTAGAGTTATAAAGGTACCAATGTAAGTTCTACAAAAGAAGGTATAATTCACCTCGATAACACTGCTCGTGTCTCATCCGTAAGTTGTTCAAACTTGCTAACACGGGAATGATCTTCACTATCAATCTCAGGGGTTTTCAAAAATTTGTACATTCTAGGATCATCCGGAATCAAATAGCGCAGCCACTGATGAGGGTTTCTTGTACTCATGAATGTGTCCAATATCTGCACAATAGTATCATGGAGTACAGAACTGCTGAAGAAATCCTTCAACTGTTTCCTGCAATGCATTATTTTTTGTAATCATTAAATGAGCTGGAAATGGTGGGAATCATTCTCACAGTTAGTCCCAAAGATCCTGGGGCAGAAAATTGTGGGCATCAAGTCCCTCTTTTATTTTACCCGCCAACTATTTCTTAACCAAAAAGAAGTCATGTAATTTTATGAATAGAATAATGCCAACGAAAGCAGCAATTTTTATCAAAGTGGTGAACTTCGGTTAGACTCAACCTATCATTTATTTTTAGACCTAGCCTATCATACAGGAACTTATGCTAATACAATAGCCTAAAAGGATACTGGCCTACAAAACCTTCTACCTCCGTCATTATACCATATTTATCATCCAAGGGAAGAAGTTTTTATGCGTGGAGAATGATACGAGTTGGTTTTAGGTGACATAATTTAAAAAGGTCAATACTCAATACGCACAGAAGCAAACAAATACTAAGAAATTGAGAAACAGATGCATTCTAGCTTCTTTATCACAGGACACGCAAAACATCACTAAATGAATATCAAATTTTTTCATTGCATTTCAACATGAAGGCAAATTGACACATACAAAAGAAGAAGAAAAAAACCAGCTTGTTTTTGTAGAACTTAAAATTGACTGTTTTGGGGAAATAATTTTTCCAGGTAAGCACCAAATTCCAAACCCCCCTAGTAAATTTGCACCCAAAAACAGATTTGAGTATAATTACTTAGTTAGAAGGAAGCAACACAATCTAACTTTGTTGGCAGTAAATGAATACACTGCAAACAAACATGGAGGACTAGGGGCCATACTTTTGGAATGAGATGAATTTCCAAACAAGATACAATCTTTTTTATCACCAAAATGCTGACTCCAGAATAGGTTTTGGTTGCCACAAAAATATGGCTAACCTTTGACACTTCACTAGTAGCTTATGAATACAAGAACAGGTATAATGCATAAAAAGAATGCCATCGCAGCTCTTTGCAACAGCTACACAGCATGCAGCTCGCTTCGTTTCTTTCTTGAGTATGTGCATAAAAAGCATAAATTGTAGTAGACACTAGACAGATTAAGTAAGCTGCGCAAACCTAGCTTACCCCTTTAGCACTTCAGAAGTTGCTGCCTCAACAATAGCAGCTAATGCTGGCACTTCATAATTGGAGAGAAAATCAGCAATAGCTAAAAACTGTTGCTCGTCATCCCTGTCGATGAGATCAGCTTCCTCCTAGGAAATTATAAAAGAGCTCAGACAAGCGCTTCAGATGGAAAAAACTCAGACCACACTATACTATAAACAAGTCATAAGATCGGGGGGGATTGTAGAAAAGGGAGTTCATTGCTTCCCACTCTTTTTTTTCCGACACTGTTGATTAAACCAATAATGCTGGAACTAAACAGCATATATAATCATCTAAATCATACTACAAACACATAAATGATAACTCCAGAAAGGACCAGATCAGTTCAATTTTTAAAGAACGAAATCCCGGATAATTGCCCCATCTAAGCTCAAGCAATTTGCGGAAATCATTAAACAAAACTATACTTATGTCACCGATGATAAGGTCAAACTATCCACAGATACTAATGCTACCTGAACTGTAAGATCCAATCAACAATCACAACATATGGTATTGTACTAAATGAAGGAAAAGAAGAGAATAAAGATAATGACACTTCGACAACTCAAACAGCCCGAAATTGAATGTATGAGAAAGCTTTTGTGGATGACTAAAACTACCGTGAAGTTCAAATCCAACCAATATTTATATAAAGGAGAAAAATCCACCAACTAGTAGAAAATATATGACACACAATAGTACAGTCTAGAAAACATGCTCTTACAATTAGGTCAGAATTCCCAAGCCCACGAGCTGTGTCTATGTAGAGATGCCTCCCTAATATGTTGACTTGAACTCTAATAAATAAGTTCAATATGGTCATTGACCAAAGAGACAACACCATTCTCGTGAAACCTGAAAATAATACGCACCACCATTAGAAAACTGAATAACATTTGTGCTGTTAAGCAGTAAATACTCATAGTAGATAAAGAGAAGAACGCTACAAAAGGAAATATGCACTCAAACCCTTACTTAATATTTTGAGTCGATCCCAAAGGTCAAGTTTCTCTGCAGCTGTTAATGCGTTCGGCTGACCTTTTCCTTTCATTAACCTCTCAGTCAAGGGGGCAAGGTCCAACTCATCCGCCACTCGGATGCTTAACTGTTGCATGACATGAGGCAATGTCGCAGAGTCAGCTATCTTCTGAATGTTATCAAAGTGTGCTTGCAATCTGTCCAAGTACGAACAGAAAAAATAACAAAATATATTAAGGCAAATTGTTTAAGGTACTATGAAGGGTATGAGCTGACAATCTAAGGAAAAGTATAACGCTTTGAGACATTTCAAACTTACTGGGCCTTAATGAGCTCCTCATTTTCCCTTTGCCTAGCAAATTCTGTCTCCAGATCAGAGATCCTCCGTTTGTGAGCATCATAAAGCTTGTACAAAAAATATCCACTTCCTAAAACACCAAGTGTAACATAGACCTTCCTCTTATGCCTTCTCCAGAGATCCCTAGAAACCGATTAAAAAACATAGAAACATGTGAAATTTCAAACCAGCTGCTACGACCTGGCAAACCCCCAATAACAATTGTATTAAAGGTTGTTCAAACAAGAATAGTGGTTCCTTTCAGACAAAATTCAATAAGGGACCCAAAAAAGAATTAAGTAAATTGATGCAGAAAAACCAAGTTACACCAAATTCAATATCCACAAAACCCTTAATTGGGCCAGAGATTCACAAGAGAAAATGCAATCTTCATCGATACATGAAAAGTATCCCTAAACTGGAAACTGAGAAACGCAAATGAAATCTGCCAAACTGGAATTTTTAGGTACAAGCATATAAGAGACTGTACTTGGTAAAGGACAAAAAATTTGAAGAACAAGGCAACATACCACATTCAATCTTTTTGCTTATGGCTATCCTCACAGTTCCGTTTGGTTTGTTAGTTTTCGCCGGCCTGGATAATGGCCGGACCTCTTTCTCTTCTTATACAGTCTTCACGGCGCGCGCACACACACACAGACACACAAAATCTTCAAAACAAGACGGGATTTGCGAGGGACAGGTAAGCAACTGTGGGAAGGTTAGAACAGCTCGGAAGAACTCAACTCCTGAAGAAACTGATCCTCGCTAACCACGAAAACTCTCTTAAGCTTTTAGATGGGGAGGGTAGGGAAGAGAGGAAGACTGCCAAGATTCTCTCTTATTTTGCAGTTTTCTATTTGTGGTAATTCTGGAAAATTTTTGGGAAGCGGAATTTTAATCGTGATTTTAATGTTATTACTGGGCAAAGAAATTTTGTTGTTTTTTTTTTTAATTATTATTTTATAAAAATATATATCAAGTCAAAATAATTCAAAGGAATCATATTTTTATTAGTATTTGCCAGGAGATCCCTTGAATTGAATGGTCCCTCAACTTTTTGGAAATAAATATTTTAGCCTCTCAATTCTCAATGACTTCCAGAAACTGGCAAGTTGTAACTTGTTTCAATTCACAGTAGGGTTGCCGTAGTTTTATAACCAATTGTTGCCGCTCAGCTGGCTTGATGGCGGAGCACTCACCGATGACTGACCTTCCCTAAACTCAGCCACAATCAATTCTCATTAAGGTCCCTTTGGAGAGGCGCAACGGGTTGCGTATAATATTCGTTCAATCCTCATTCCACTAAGGTCCCTTTGACATGCAATTGCAACTAATAGTACATGGCTCTGTATTTGCCAACACTCACCAAGTTTATATAATACTAACTCTTATTTATGAGCAACGAAGGATTGATAGCTCTTATTTATAAATGAGGAACAACTTAGAGGTTTGAAGCTTCACAAATACATACGAGACCTTCATCGAGTCAAATGTAATAGGCATAACTCATAACTCTAGCTTAGTTTTCAAAAGACATCAGGCAGGCTCCAATATAGCCTTTCTTTTTCATGAATTGAGGCCAACCTCAAAAGCACAAAACATGGCACCTGGATCATGCAAATATTCGATTCATAAATCTCAATTCGCAGACAAACCTAATAAACATGATTGTATACACAACCTAAAAAACAAACGCCTTCCAGACCAAAGCCAATTGACATGTAATAGTAACATAGAGCCAAATGTATAATGTACCAGCTAGAGTTAAAATCCAAAATTGAAACAGAATAAGATCTCAAAACGCTGACAGCAAATATAAAAGTCGATATCCCTTCAAACATTTTAACTTAAAATCTAATTGGCTAGGGATACTATCACAAAAAAACACTTCGTTGATTGGATCATTTCCTAGTAGCGCACCCCCCAAACTCTGATAACTCCGTCTGTGTAACCACTAAAGAGTGTGCTTCCATCTGCACTCCAGTTGAGACTGGTGCAGTAGATAACCTGCATTATGAAACACAGACACCATCAGGACAACAAGACCAGTGCAACTTGATAAGGTGCTTTAATCAATGTATTTAAATAGACCTCACTCTGATTTAAATGCATACTACTATTAAGAGATTTAACACCGATAGGCCAAAACAGACGAAAAAAATGTTGACTTCTAGAAACTCAAAGCAACCCTCATTGCAGTATGGAGCAAAGAATCTCATCAATAAGTGAGGACACATTACTAGTTTTAACACTTGAGCACAAAAAAAAAAAAACAATTCAAAGAAACAGGCCACAAAATGCAACTTATGAAAATAGGCAATAAAACCAGAATTATGATGAACAAATACAATCGATGAAATCACCAAAGAAAGCAGAGGTAAAGGTTCAACAACTCAACGGGTAAAGAAGGAACTTTACATCTCAATTGCAAATTACAGATAAGAAAACATGCACTCAACATTCCAACTTAAATCAATTCACACTTCCAAGATGCAGCATTTACAACCTTTACACAATAAAATGTAGTGCACACATGCATCCCTAACCACAGCTAAATTCTATCTCAGGGACAGAGACTAAACAGGCAATTAAAAATGCAAGAGAGCAGTGAACACAATTAAACTATAACGCAGCAATCAATACAATTCCAAAATTTAAAACCAATCGGTCTTAATCAAACCACCAATAAATTCACAATCACAACACAAACCCTAATAGGAACATTTAAAAGCATGTCAACAGAAAAAAAAAATGATGCAAAACTTCATAAAAATTAAGATCAAGAAATGACCTTGTTCTTGGCAGCAGCGGTCTGGCCAGTGGTACCTTCAGCGGCCATTTCGCTCTCTTGCTTCAAGTCAACTCTCAAGTCCACAACAATGCTCTTACTCTCCAAATCCCAAATCTTAATACTAGTCTCAGTAGCAGCACACAGCCAGTACCTGTTAGGACTGAAACACAAAGCATGGATGATAGAACCAGCATCCAAAGAGTAAAGCTTCTTTCCTTCAGCCAAATCCCACAACAAGATGACACCATCTTTACCACCACTAGCGCACAAAGAGCCATCAGGAGACACAGCAACGGTGTTGACATAGCCACTGTGACCAGCAAGGGTAGCCCTGTTCTTGCAATTGCTCAAATTCCAAATCTTCACAGTCCGATCCCACGACCCGGAAACAATCGTGGGCTGGAGGGTGTTAGGGCTGAAACGAACGCACGAAACCCAATCGGTGTGAGCATCCTGATCCTGAATGGTGTACTTGCACTCACCCAGGGTGTTCCAGAGCTTGATGGTCTTGTCGCGAGACGCGGAAACAATCTGACGGTTGTCAATCGAGAAGGCGACGGAGAGGACGTCCTTGGTGTGGCCGACGAAGCGGCGAGCGGTGGTTCCGGCCTGGAGATCCCAGAGGCGGAGCTCGCCGTCCCAGGAGCCGGAGAGGGCGAATTGGCCGTCGGAGGAGAGGACGACGTCCTGGACGAAGTGAGAGTGGCCGGTGAGGCGGCGGCGGGGGACGCCGTAGGTCTTGTCTTCCTTAGTGAGGGACCAGAGGATGATGGATTTGTCACGAGAGGAGGTGACAATCATGTCGGAGTTGTCGATCGGGGTGGCGATGGCGGTGACCCAGTCGGTGTGGGCCCTCATGGTGCCGCGGAGGACGAGCTGATCTTGCGCCATTTCTCTGCTTTCTGTGTTTCTTTGGGAATGGAGTAGAGAGAGAGGCGGGAGAAGGAGGAGTATGTGGAGATGGAAGAGTGACCAGGGTAAAAATAAGCGGTAGAGAAACCCTAAAGGCACACAAGTTGAGAATATTTATAGGTTGGCGGGCTTTAGGGTTTAGGCCCTTTTATGGGGTTTTGGCCCGTTGGGTTTTATAATTCTTTTGGGGATTTTTCTCTTTGCTTGATTTTTTGGACACCAGTAAAATTTTGCACATTAATAATTGTTTTTAAAATTATTTATAATTATGAATAATAAAATGACTTAGTATCATTTTTTTCACCCAAAAAAATTATTAAAACAAGATGTTCTTTTGTATTGAGATTAAATCTAATACTATCGTAGAGCTTTAAGCCGTGTTAACTTTTTTTGGTAATCAAGAATTGGTTTTTTTAATAATAACAGGGTGTTTTTGATTTGATTCTTTCTTTCTCATTTCTTTTTGGTTTGGAAAAATAAGATGACATTACAATGCAAGATCGTTAACGCGTAAGAAATATACATTTTGTTAAAGTTCAAACGCATTGTGTATAGGAAAGCTAATTCCATGTTAGATTGTGCGAGTCCATTATCATCTTATAAATGGAAAATATACTCGTATTGACCCGAAAAGAATTAATACACGTTTCAATACAATTCAGTCAACCATATCAAAATTAACAGTCGTGCTTGTGGAGTCAAATCATGACTGATTTTGTTATTACCAAATACCAACATTCCCAAGTTTCTTTTGATCATGGCAATCTCACTACTAAACTTGATCCTCGAAAAAAATTCAAAAGCATATGCTCAATGTTCCTACTTCCTACATTACAATTCCACGTGCAAATCAGGGCAATGAAAGGAAAACACCTCCCAAAAATTTACCAAAATCTAGGCTTTACATATGACACTCCATTGAGATAGACAGCAAAATGCCCCATTCTTCCATTCTGAGTTTCATATAATGGCAAGCAACTTCAGTGGCAAAGGGAAAGAGATCGGAAAAAATCACCGTGTGTAAAGCTCGCTACGGCCAATAATAAGGCGAGGAAAATCCCAAACATATGCAAGACATCTCTACAACTATGCATTATTCTACTTTTCCGCCAATTTAACTTTCTTTTTCTTCAAACTGCTGTAATAAGAAGCAAGGGTCATGTTATAATCAAAGGTGTCAGGCGTTGCCAAGCTTCTCTGGCAAAATGCAGCAAAAGCTTCATCATCCTCCAGTGCAAGCTCTGATAAAATTCGAGCTCTCTCCCTCGATCCCTTTTGTGTTACACTACCGCTCGCCCGACCTCTCTTCCTTGGTCCTTTAAGTGTTTTACTACCACTTTTCTGTCTTTCCTTCTCAGCGACATTGGAGATACCTGGCTTTGATTTATTGATTTCAGGTAAGGTCTCTGTCTCAGTGCCATTAACTGATGACCCTGGAACTTCCTTCGAACAGGGATCCCTGCAAAGGCATATGAAATCATTACGAAGAAACCAAATTAGATGACAACTAATGCCTGCAAAGGCTGAGATCAAACAAGGAATATTCACATGCAATGAATTGCGCATGCACAGTACTCTTTTTTTTTTTTGGTGTGTGTGTGTGTGTGTGTGTGTTGGGGGTGGATTTTACCACAGCACACATATTTAGAAAATAAAACAGGCTGAGATCAAACAAGAAATCAGTTGCAGTGCAGTAGTATGCTCTCCTACACAGGTGCTGCACCACCCATCCATACATAACTTGTATAAAATCATCTGCACTTGTAATTCTGAACTTGGTAACATTTTAACTTACCCTGAACATGAACTCAATGGAGCATCTTCTCTCCTCCTCCTACATTGAAAACCAATCATCAGCTCATCTAAACAACGAATGCTAATAAAACAAGACAAACTCAGCAGTTGGAGATCATACCTTGAACCCTTGCTTTTTCTACCAGGAGGATTGACACATTCAGATTCCGGTACGCAAATTATTTCCTGAGAGGCCACAACAAAATCATCAGGTCGCAGGGCAGGTCGTTCAGATTCCCGATCCACAAAATTGGATATCAAGGCAGCCTTTTGGGTCTCTCTAGCAATTTTTAGCAAAGGAACTTGATCGGGACGAAGCACCTTCCATCTTCTGATTAACCCCCCAAAAAAAAAAAAAAAAGTAAAACAAGAAAAGGACTAACATCAGGAACGAGGTTTCATAAGTGCTAGTATTATATGAACACGCAAGAGCAATTTAACTTAAAATTTACCTCCGGCACTGATTATCAGTCCGAGGAGGAACACAAGCTGCAACCTTTGACCAACAAAAACCATGTTGTTCTATGGCTTCTTGTAACTTCAAATCCTCTACTTCGGTCCACGTATTGAGATTCAATGAAGGATCCAAGGAATTAACCCACCTGAAATACATGGGAAGCTTCATACGTTAAAAAAATCAAACAGCATAACATATATAAAGAACATCATAATTCTAATCAATACCTTTCTCTACACTGAACTTGTGTTCGGCCAGGGACAAATTCACCTATTTTCTTCCAATTTCTAGGGCCAAAAAGCATCACAGCAACTTTCAAACGCTTGTCTTCATCTTTAGTCCATCTACCAACCCTTTGCCTAGCAGGATGCAACGTCTTCATCCATCTGAATAGTCATAACACATTGGTGCACATAATTCAGAACACAACGTAAAGAACCATGTACATTCAATGAGAAAACCAGAAGGTTGACCAAGAAAAACTAAAAGCTGCTTCACTTGATAATAATAGTCCAATGCAAACAAAAAAAAGAAGACTGAAATGTTCTGAACCACCAAAAGAAGTATCCAGGTGACTGCAGGCTTCTATTCTCAAATCCAACTCCTCGGGAGCATATAAAGACCTTTCGCAATGCAACTCCTAAAGACAGAACATTCACAGTGTAACTCCTAAAGACAGACCTCTGGCGGAGGAACATAAACAGACCCTTTCATCGAGCACAAATATCCTAAAGACTTTCCAGTCTTATTTCTCCATCTTACTCTTGTAGAGTCCATCTAAAGTAAACATTAGTCTCATTTTTAAATTGCTAACAATCTTTTCTACATAGCAAGTACAAGTTCCATAGTCAACAACAGTAAATTAATTAGATGTGATAATGTCCACACACAGATATCAATTCCCTTCATTTTCCGCATGTGATGGTCTCATTTCTCTCTTTTAGTTTTCCCTTGTCCATGTAATATATGTGTATCCCTTCCTTCAGACAATTTTTTTGTTTTGTTGAGAAGCTGTTAGAACATGGAGTAATCATACCCGTTAACTAGCTTTTGACAGCATTATTAGCTCAATTACACAACACACTGCATATCACTAAAGGTCGCTTATTTTTCGGCAATGTGGAAGTAATTTAGTGAAGCTATATCACCACCAAGAGCAGATATTTTGACCGAAGTTTTGTTGCTTCTAAAGAAAATTTGACACTTCTAAGTAGCACTGACATCACTTAATTCAAAATACAAGTATTTGAGATTTCCTCATATGAACTAAAGATAGAAAAGGCGAACTTACCTATTAGAGCATTGAGTACCAGTCCGTCCTTCAATAGCTGAAGCAATGAACTGCCAATTACCTTCCCCAAAAGCTTCCACAGCAGCTCGGAGTTGATTGTCCTCTTCCTCAGTCCATTCCCTTTTAATTATTGAAGCATTAAGACTTCTCTGATAGCGAGCTAGGCACTGGAACGGCGTCCTGTTTGTTCCCACTGAGGTAGCAATGTCAATCCAGTTCCGGAGCCCCTTCTGTTGAACCACATGAAGAAGAACCTTGTCCTCTGTTGGAGTCCAAGGATTTTGATTAATCAAGGGATCTTCATGATTCAACCACCTGCGCAAATTTACTCGCACCAATCAGATATATGAAACCACATGACATAATCTGCTCTATAAGCTCTTAAAGATGTACTCCACTGAATGGGCACTTTAAGGATTCGAGAATGATTTTCACAGGAACACTTCAATAAAAAGCAAGTATTTGGAGCTTTTGGCCAAGACCAACAAGCTAGCTAAAGAAGAGAGGAAAAAAAGTAGTGGCACCCAACAGAAGAGATTTTCTACAATGGAACAAAGATATCAGCAGACAAACTAAAGGTAGATTTAGTTCTATGAAGAGAAAACAACAGTAGATAGTGACATCGGACCTACTTCCTACAATATTATGTTAGAAGCTCATTTACCTTGTTTGACATTCAGGCCCAGATCGACCAGGAACATACATGGAAGCTAAGTACTCCCAATTGACCTTTGGAAGGAACAGTCTCATTTTCTCTGGGGTAAAATCAACATCACCAATGGATGCAAGAACGCCATCAAATACACCAGAACCTTCGCCCAATACTTCGCCTTCACTGCAAGCAGGTCATGAGCATCAGGTACAAAGATAACATACAGTAAGTTTTTCAAGAAACAGGACAGGTATTCCAAGATAGTGGTACGCTAACTGCACAACAAGGAGCATTATCTAATTTTGAACTACCCATGGGGTAATGATGCTCTTCCAATGTTAATAATTGATGTTAACCGATCTAGTAAGACACAAAACTTAAAAATGTCAGACAACAGGATTTCAAGTAAAATTAAGTAAGAGGTCACCACATGGAGCCTAAGTTGAAAATCAGCCATAATTAGTTCTATACAATGATGGCTAGGTCTATCAATGCTGCTTGACAATGATGCTTGACAATGACATAGTTAAAAAGTGACTAATGAGTCACAGAACACCTTAAAGACTCTAGTCATTTTAATACAAGACCTTAAGACACCAAAGCTGGAAACAGGTATCTAGATAGCTACAAAACTTTATTATCACTTTAAACTCTAGTCAGAAAACATTAACCAGCTATCATTTTGCAAGACCTTAAGACACCAACTCTGGCAAATGATGTACAGCATCAACAAAAAATAAGATCAATCGAAAAAAATGCTGCGTCTAATCGCTAAACATGCATCCCTGCACATCACAAGTACCTGAGTAAATCCAGTGATCTCTGAAGCAGCATCTCTTGAAATTGTTGTCTCAAACCATGTGCGAGCTTCTCACTTTCTTCCTTTGACCACCGGGCTCGACCCATAAAGGCAGGGGATCTTTCGACTGTCTCTTTGAACTTAGAGACCTGAAAATTTTCAGCAGGGCCATACAGCATTGGGGACGGCTTCTTGGAATTAAGCTGCAAGGACAGCAAGCAAAATAAAATTGAGCACCCAAGAAGATCAAAATAAGACCATTTCATATCGCATAACATAAACTGCCCAATAAATAAATTCAGAATGGATATTTGAGGACAGCTACAATTTTATTCAGGAAGAGAGGCAAAACAAGAGAACATGCCAACACAGAAATCAAAACTCTACTTCAATTGAAAAGGTGATAAAGACTCAAGTTCTTTCATAATCAATACTACTCAATACAAGCATGTCACTACTAAGTACTAAAGCTCCTAAACACATATCATGTCTTTGTCTTTCTCCTATGCTGAGGAGAAAAGAAGAACAACTTGGATCCTTCAGAATTCACGGGTAGGAAAAAAAAAGAATGCTCTAGAACTCAGTTAAGAAGATTACATATTCACAAAAGCCTTTGATACCAAAAAAAAAAAAAAAAAAATCGAATGCCTATACCCTCTACATGTAAAATTAGATATTCTCAGTAAAAAGTAATATCAAACAAAAAGATATGGCAGAGATGCAAAAAACGTTATGGGACTTGCATTTTAAATGATCAAAACTTCGAGGAAGAAATGACAAGATCTATACGACGTCTCCCCAAATTTTCTCCTCCAAAATAAAATTAACTTACTTATAAGCATTATACTAACCTTTGAACTAGGATCAATCCTTGAAACAGATATTAGTTGAGCACGGGCATCCTTTTTCTGGGACAATGCTAAACTAGTTCTCCTCCTACATGCAACCTGAAAATCTTTCAAGATTTTAACTCTCTCCTTTAGTTCTTTTAACTCTTCAACCCTGGACTCAATGTGCAATAATTTACTCCTGATTAATTTCTGACAAGCCCTATTCTTCTTGATTGCATCTATGAAGGCCTGGGCTGCTTGCGGGAATGATGAACCTTTAACGGGCAACTTTGCTGCATCACCAGAACTAGAATCTTGCCACAAACCAGACTCCTCAGTCCCACCGGCAATCTTATTACAAGATTCATAGTTTACGATATTGTAACTATGATCTACCCCTCCATTAGAACTATCAACAAACAGATCCTCACAACTTTCCAATGGTAGAGTATTACCCCCATCATGCTCTGGGTAATGTGAAACATTTTCGAAGCTGGCTTTCTGATAATCTGGATTCACATTTTCCAAGCTGCCTTTCTGATCATCTACGTTCACATAAATCAAGGATATTCAGTCACAAAAAATTGAAATTGCAAAAGGGGCAATTTCTTTTTAATGTTTAACCCAGTAGTAATCATAAAAAAAAATAACACAAAATTTGCAGCAACACTTAACATTATCATAACAAGCAGATTCTAAAACAATAAGCATCATATCGTAGCTTTCAATATGAAACCAATAGAAGTAGAAGACTCATACTCTAGGCAACTGATCTCTGAATAATTTATCAATATTTTTAAGTCCTACCCTTTTCAGCTAGAAACTGATATCAAGTTAACTTTCCTCTGTGATATAAGTAAAAACGCTTCTTAGCTTTTTTATTAGAAGCTATGTCAAAAGCAGTAATATGATCTGATGGCATACCATACAGTTCCAATAAACCTTCAGCTTCTGGAAGGTGATTAGATTGAATCCCCACCTCAGGATATGAGACACAAAAGGTCTTAGCTAACGTTTCATCCTACTGAAAACGTCCCACAGACTTTGAAAATAGAAACATGGACAGAGTTTCAAGATTGTTTCCATGACTGAAATAGCAAAACAAGTTTCAATCTTTTCCATTCTATCCTTATTTTTCCAAATTAAGAGAACCATTACATCAGTAGTGCTTTACACCTCTGAAAATCCAAAGCTATCCAGTTTTTGATAGATAGATTTATTCAGTAAAACCAAATAAAATCACAATGAATATAACGGTGGGAAAAAAGCAAAATTAAAAGCAATGAATATATTGTACCTTCATTGTAAGAGGCAAATCGACGTTGAATAGCTCGAAGTATTTCCATATCATCCTCGAAGTCATCTTCCTTATCCACCGACCCAGGAAGTATCGAGCAGAGAGGCTCGAGCGTTAACGGCTCCCTGTTATCAGTCACAATGGCGAATTTTTTCTGGATATCACGAACCAACTGGAGGTCCTCAAACCCATCATCATCGTCATCATCATCAGAGTTGAAGCCGGTGTCAGAAGTCGCAGCAGCCCCGGCATCGGCGGCGGCAGCAGAGGTGGAGACAGACTGTTTTTGGAGGTCACTAGGGGTGGTTCCGGTAAGAAGGCAAGCTCTTTTCAAAGCTTCAAAATCTTCGTTAAAATCGTCGTCGTCTTCGCTTCCGACCGATCCTCCGTCGTCGGAAGCCATATTATTTTTCTTTTTCTTTTTTTTTTTAGCTTTTTTTGTTTTTTTTTTCTTTTTTTTTGGGGGTTTCTTCTACTTAACCTTACTTCTTGGAAGAATGAGGTCGGCGTTTCCTTGTATTGGCAAACTCACCGAATTTATGACCGACCATACCCTCAGAGATCTTTTTGGAAACGAATGTTTTGCCGTTGTAAATTCTGACCCTCCAGTTGACAAAATCAGGCAAGATGGAAGATCGACGAGACCAGATTTTCTTCCCAGGCTGAAGAGGAGTAGCAGCGGCACCGTCTTTACTCTGCTGCTTCATTCTGGTGAGGAATGCATCGACGAAGAGTCCCTTCCATATCGACCGCCTCGGCATGACTTCTTCAAATCAAAACATAGATAATTCCGATATTTTCCCCTTAATCGTATTTAAAAAAAAATGAATGAATAGAATCGCCTTGAAATTGATCGGAGAAATTCCGATAAGAAGGCAATTGAAGGAGTTTCGGGAAAGTCGGCCGCCGGTTTGAATCTGGGTTCAGGGTTTAGAATAATCGCCGACTCTGTTCTGATTTAAATTCCTAAAGGCTTTTCTTACCGTCACCAAACTGGTACTAATAGTTGGGCCTATTAGCCCAATAATAAAATGGGAATCAAAAAATATAATCTAACACGCACGGCCCACATTTGCTTTTTTCATTTCTGCTTTTCTTTTTTTCTTTTTTTTCTTTTTTGTGTTGGTCTTTTCCTTTACAAATTTTGTTTTTCTTTTTTAAATTCTTTTTGTTTTGAAACTTTTATTTTATTTTTTTACCGAATGATCTTTAAAACAAAAAAATTTCATTTCAAATAATAGCAATTTCCATTTCCGTTTTGTTGGATTTACTTTGTTATTGATTAGAAAATTTATTTACATAAATTTTTAAATTTGTAGTTATTATATTTCTTACCTATACTAGTCTCATAATCAAACGAAAACAATATAATAAAAATTAAACTGGAAAATAATTTTAGGACAAAGAGAATATTACGAATTTATTATTTCATATGCATAATCGTTGGTTTATTGAATGTAAATGTATAATTGTTCACATGTACATATAACATAACCTTTGAACTCTATACGCATGACATTTTTACACTAAGAATAAATAAATTGCCTTTTAGAATACATATGCATCATTGTTGGTTCACATTTGCCTAATTATTCACCTTCATAGAGATAATCTCTGCACTCTTTACAGAGAGGGGGTTGTCGCTCTATTCTTTGAGGTTGTACAGTTGTAGTTTCGTACCTATTATTTTTTATTATATTTTGATACTAAAGAAGTATTAATTTGAAAATAAGTATTGTATTTTTGCTTAATCGTATATAGATTTATTGGAGAATGGCGACACACGTTCAGATTATCAGTATAATCAGTGGCCACGAAGGCTAAATAGACCGACACGTAAGTCTTATGAATGGTATAGCAAAATAGCAATGTATAGCATGGTTTGATCACACCCTCCGATCGAGAATCAACCATCCAACAATGTGTAACATTGAACAGAGTTGGAGGTAGAGCTCCGACCATAATTCAGAGTTCAGACAATTTTAATGTAGCAAGACCATTTCTTCACTATTAATACATACCAAACAATGTACATTGATTTATCAGAATCTTGCAAGCCCTTTAAATGTACATTCAATAAGGACCACTAAAAAAGAAAATACAAAATCTTTAGAAGTGGGACATTTACAAGATCTACACGCATACAGTCATCAATGGTTCAATACTAGGGTTCTCATCACATCCTCATGATTCATGATCCAATAGAATACGTAACTTGTAGTGATATGGTTGATCATATCATGTTTAACTTAGGATATCAATATTGTCACACCTTTAAGAACGGATCATGCAAGAGAACATTAAATTAATGACGTCTTGAGGCAAGTGATTATCATGAGTCGTTGAATCCCGATTCATGATTGCCCGGGGTGATCCATTTGTATAGAGAAAAGAATTTATTTATTTTGTTAGTTTCATGCATTACATATTTGTCTGGTTTATAATAGTATATATCTAGTCATTATTGTATGTCCAAAAGACTAAAGAAATCAATTCATTACAATGTCATTGAGATTGTTTTCATAAGAGTAGTCCTTTCAATCTGGTAAGCATCGACTGCCCTTCTTATATCCAAAGAATGAAAGGATCATTGCATATATATTACGCTTTCATATTACTCAATAATGTCAATGTACTACTACTTCAGTTGCAAAAAAAAAAAAAAAAATACACATTGAGTTTTCAAAATTGTATTATTTTCAATATAAAACTAAAAAATCAATATCGACAATTTTTTGGGCATCAAGAAATATTATTCTTGCAATTTAATTGATTATTCACAACCTAGGAAAGGAGACTGGTGGAAGCTCTTTTCATGCAAATGTTACTCCAACTTGATACCTTTTTTTTTTTTTTTTTAACTCCTACTTGATACTTTTTTTTTTTTTTTGATACATTATTACTGCTATCAAACGGGAAAATTAATATGTGACGTTACTTGCTACAACCATCAAATATTGCATATGGAAATTTATATATATATATATATATATATATTTTGCAAGATATCTCTTCCACACAATTAAATGTCATTCCAATATTCAACCACCATCCAACCGTATAATTATAATGTGTGTTTATTTATTTATTACGTACAGCTTAGACCTTATCTATAATCTACAATAGTTACCATTATAAATTAAAAAAGAACTCTGAATAAATAAATAAATAAAAACATGGAGTTTCTTGTACGTTGTTATGGGAAGAAATATATGAAAACACCAATAAGGCAATAATTGTCCACCAAAGGTCATCCTCTGCTTCAGCGATGAATAAGCAAATTGTGTATTAGAATTGGGGAAAATATAAAACTAACAAACTACACCTGGCTATAATAAGGTGATACTATATTGGATTTGGACTTTGTTCATTAATTTCTTCAACATTCAACGGCTACTAAATAACCACATAATTTTTGTTTCTCATTTCATATGTATTCATTGATCCACCTTAATTTAGATCATATGTTATTCTTAAAAATGACCAAAAAAAAAAAAAAAGGACCTAAGCATCGGATTTGTCCAGAGTCCTGAAATGTGATAGGAGCTTCATTTTGAATAGTCTAACAATACAGCAGATTTGTAGTTTTTTTTTTTTCATATAATACGCTGTTTATCATCAACAAAAATGAACAGTTGAAATTCGCATATTATAATTTGACACTAATCAGAATAGGTAGCTTTGTGAACTACTCCTATCACCTTTATTTTTTGGGGCCAATAGCAACGCAAACCTTAAATTTTTAACGGAGTTAACTAAGTAATATTTTGATGTAGAGAGTGAATACAAATATTCCATATGTCCGCAAAATTATTATACAGTTTGAATTTTTTATTTTTAATTCAATTTGTACTAAAATAAAAATTTAAGCTGAAACCATAATTTCGAGACTAAAGGAATACTAATAACTGATATGACGACATAAAAAACCATAACGATCATTATCGCTGCTACTATAGTCGATTGCAATATTGACCCCAAATTTATTACGTCAATTGCATTTTGTGAAGATGCAGACTTTCTCATCCGGTTTCACATTTTATGTTGGGGTGATCGTTTCTTTCGGACTTTCTCCAACATTTCAATAGGCTTTTTGTTACCTACTACATTCCTTGATACGATATGGTTCATAATTTGATCCATATCATATACGTCGTTTTTCTTCGTGGCTGCGGCTACACATACGTTTGCTTATCTTTGATGATTTAATTTAGAATTTGCATTTTTTTTTTATATTGCGAGGTATTTACCGTCAATAACAGTAATTAATCTCCCTCGCTCATGGTAGGCATTTCGATAGATGGGAGAGTTGCGCAAAAGATTAAAAGTTGTTTCATTCACGTGTCGAAATTCGAACCCGCGACATATGGTTAAGAGTGGAGGAGTTCTTACTACTCCACCACAACCCCTTTGGTTAATTTGCATTGTATTACTGATCATTTCATCTCATAGAAATAATCTACGTTATAATTATAAATTATAAATTGTATTTTTTTTTATACAATGTAGAATTTACAATATACTTTATAAACTATTTTGCAAAATGGACAGAATATAAATTTTGTAACTTTAATTGCTCACTATTTAGTGTGTGTTTTGAGGTGTTTTGTAACTTTTTTTCGTTTTTTTAATGTGTATTTTGAGGTGTTTTTTGTATTGGAAATGTAAAAAAAGTGTATTGGAAAATGTAAAAAGTTATCTTAGGATGGAACAGTTATTAATAAAATAAAATGAAAAACCATCACAAAAAAAAAAGCAATCAAACCGAGAAAATTGTGCTCACTCCCCTAATTATACTTACATAGTTTTTATTATCGAATGCGATCTTATAATTTTTCGGGTCAAACGTTCGTTACATTCCCTTAACTGTGATCTAGCTACATGGTTCCGTGCACATTCATTTCTAAAACCAATTTTTAAAAATTCATCACAAATCACACTTAATTCTCCTCTAAAATAAATATAAGTTTGTTCCCGAAACAGATTATTGTTACTTGTTGTTAGACAAAAATCAATATACTTCCGCTGTCCCATTTTTAAGAGGCCTCTTTGGAATTTAGAGTGTAGCATATACTCTTTCATGTCCATACTATAAGATATTTTGATTTGTTATAAGTTTCACTTAACATATTTTTCTAATTGAAAAAAAACCTTAAAAATATTTTATAATAATTAGGAGAATACAATGAATGTGAAAATGTATTTTTAATTTTTTTTCAATCGAAAAAATATATTATGTGAAAATAAATTAAAATGTTTTATAATAAGGACCGAAGATAATTTTTCCATGTTTTTTTACATTTATTATCTATATCTATCTATTATCATGGGACCTAAAAAATTTGTGGTGATTGGTATCCCACTCTGATGACTAATTTCATGGAAAGATTTTTGTAGGAGAAGACTTCTCATTTTTGTACACATTTGCATCCTGTTACCATCTCTACATGTAGGCTGTAGCTTTCATTTACTACAGAAGGGCACATATCAATCCTTAACCCCTCCAAAAGAAAGGGTCTCTACAGTTTGCTACAAAACAAAAGAAATTACACACATAATTGAATTATGGCACTTTCCTTCTGTCTATTTGCCTGTCTACACAATTATTTTCATACCTGCACTAGACAGTAGGAGGGACTGAACAATGACAAATTTGCAATAGTAATATGTTGACATTGAGTCATGTGGAATAAGAAGCATTTATGATGGTTTGATAAGTCCCTAATGCTGAAATTGTAGAGGTGGCCTGAAAAAAAAAACCAAACTTTATTTACTTCCTTCCTCCATTGAACTATTGAAGTACCTCCCATCAAAGAAACTTCCTTTATCTGTTTTCTTCATCAAGAAAGTTCTATTTGCCAATGGATTCCTATCTATTTTCTTCATCCTTCATTCATCCTCAACTCAAGCACATTGTAGCCAAGATGCATCTGTTTGATTTCATATTGTTCTATGTTAGTCCTATCCCTCTATTCTTCTTTGTCATTTTTTTTATGGTTTTTATCTCCATCTGTGTTGAATTCTATGAGTTTTTGTTTTGGAATACTTCTCAGGTAGTGCATTTTTTGGACAAGTTCATTCCATGGCATAGGCTTCCTGTATTGCTTGGATTGGCGTATTTAGGAATAAGAAGACATTTGCACCAAAGATACAACCTCCTTCACGTTGGAAACACGAATGGCAGGAGATATGATCCTGGAAAAGTGTTACACAGAACTCCAGATGGAAGTTGTAATCATCCTACAGATGATAAAGTTGGAAGTTTCGGAACGTTTTTCGGCCGAAACATGCCTCCATCAACTTCACAGTATGGGGTTAGTGATCACCTGAAGCAATAATTTACATCATGTTGATGATCACTGAACTCTAATCTGAAATGGGGTCATTTTTTTTGTGTTTTCAGTTGTTGGATCCCCACCCGGCAATTGTCGCCTCAAAGCTAATGGAGAGAAGGAATTACGTTGATTGCGGGAAGCAACTGAACATGATAGCATGCTCATGGATACAATTCATGATTCATGATTGGGTTGATCATATGGAGGATACAAATCAGGTAAACACAGCCTATGGAAATTTTGAGGATTTTTACTATTTGCTATCTATTTTGGACTGGGTGAATAGGCCTAAAAATTAAAATTAGAAAGGAATGCTTGATCATTTTCTTTCTTGCTTTTTCTTATTTACTTGGCAGATTGAACTTAGAGCTCCTGATGAAGTTGCAGGAAGCTGCCCATTGAAGTCATTCAAATTCTTCAAGAACAAAAGGGTTGCCACTGGTTCACCTGATCTGAAATTTGGGTTTCTGAATTCAAGGACACCATGGTGGTAAGTATAATCGGCACCCAGGTAGTGAAAAATTTTATTGGGTTTTCTTTTTTTTACCTTAAAGATGATGTTTATTTTCTGTGGATAATTCAGGGATGGCAGTGTGATTTATGGGAATAATAATGAAGGAATGGTTAGGGTGAGAACCTTTGTAGATGGGAAGTTGAAGATCTCCAGTAATGGACTGCTTGAACACGATGACAAAGGGATTCCTGTATCTGGAGATATTAGAAATGGTTGGGCAGGGTTCTCTGTTTTGCAGGCCTTGTTCATCAAAGAACACAATGCTGTCTGTGATATGCTAAAAGTAAGTTAAAAGACCTTTTCTAACTGAATTTGAGTGACAGAGGCTTTTGACCTTTTTAAGGAATGAAATTTGTGTCTTTTCATCCCTGTCACATCGTTCTTTGATATATTTCACAATCCAGAATTCATTCTCCCAATCATATTTGAGGAAAAAAATAGCTCTGCCCTGTGAATGTTTTTGGTTGATGATTTGTTCTAATAGTACAGCTCTGATGTGAAGGTTTTGATGCTTGATGGTTTACAAATTGCTTCAGGAAAACTATCCGGACTTAGACGATGAGAAGCTATACCGACACGCGAGATTGGTAACTTCAGCTGTGATTGCTAAGGTCCATACTATTGATTGGACTTTAGAACTCTTGAAGACTGACACACTCACAGCTGGGATGAGGATTAACTGGTAAGGCAAAAACATTAGGCATAACATAATGAGCTCCTGATGCGATGGAAATTCAGGCCTTTATGTCAGTTTGAACCCTGAATCGAATTTTGAATGATGCAGGTATGGGTTCTTTGGAAAGAAAATCAAGGATTTATTAGGTCACAAATTTGGACATATATGTAGTGGACTGGTTGGTCTTAAAAAGCCGATGGATCATGGAATACCTTACTCGTTAACTGAGGAGTTCGTGAGCGTCTACAGAATGCATTCGCTTTTACCAGACAAAATCCTTCTCAGAGACACCAGGACAGCAGTCTCAGATGACAAATGCCCTCCAATTCACGAAGAGTATGGTTTTTCACTCTTGCTACTTGCATGTCATTGAATAGTAGGAATGAAGGATCAAAGTGTGAGATGGTATGGCAATATGCTAGTTTCTGAACTGTTTGTGTTGGTAACTAACTCAATCTATGTGAGTTTTTGCCAGGATTCCTATGACAGAGATGATTGGAAAAGTAGGAGAGGAACGATTATCAAAGATCGGTATGGAGCGGATGTTGGTAACGATGGGTCATCAGGCCAGTGGAGCAGTCACTCTTCGGAACTATCCAGCATGGATGAGGAATCTTATTGCTCATGATGAAAATGGTGCAGAACGAGCTGATCCAGTTGACTTGGCTGCATTGGAAAGTATGGCATTAATAGCCAACAAAACTTTGAATTAGTCTAATTCAGTTAGCTAACATCAATATAAAGAAAAGTAACACTTTTGATTGGTTATTAGTTTATAGAGATCGAGAGAGGGGAGTACCACGATACAACGAATTCAGGAGGAACTTGCTGATGATACCAATAAGCAAGTGGGAAGATTTGACAGATGATGCAGACATAATTCAAGCTCTCAAAGAAGTGTATGGTGATGATGTTAATAAATTAGACCTCCAAGTTGGATTACATGCTGAGAAGAAAATCAAAGGCTTTGCGATTGGCGAAACAGCATTCTTCATATTCTTACTCATTGCATCAAGGTACTATATCTTCTTCTTGAGATCCTAACTCAAATTCTAAATTTCTGAAGCTGGTGAGGTTATAAGTTCCAACAAATGCGCTCCGCGGGCTCTAACTTATAGGTTAAATTGTCTCTCAAAGAGCTTCTTTAGTCTGCACTTATGCTTATGCACTTTCAATGTTGACATTTTCAGGAGGCTGGAAGCTGATAGATTCTTCACTACTAATTTCAACTCAGTAGCCTACACTGAGAAAGGCTTAGAGTGGGTGAACACCACAGAGACATTAAAAGATGTGATCGACCGACACTTCCCTGAAATGACAAAGAAATGGATGAGGTCTACCAGTGCATTTTCAGTCTGGCACTCTGAGCCAAACCCTAAGAACTATGTACCTCTGTATCTTAGGCTTGCACCTTGAGTTAAATTTGCCTTGATGGCTTGAGCTCTGCTGCAGTGACCTGATTTTGTACATTTTGTTTAAGTTTTGGAGTCTAATGTTATGAATGGATTGTGTTTTGGTTCTGCTTTTTTAATCTTATGTATTTGTCTCAAAATGTAAATATTTGTAATCGAAACTCGTCGGAAAATACAAAACTGCTTATTTGAAATAGTGGCAGAAAAAAGGAGAACAAACAAACCAAGATCACACTACAATGCAATGCAGGTATCATCATGTTCTCACTTCTCAGTGTAAATAAAATTTTAGAAAAAAAATTACAAGCTTCTCAAGGCGTGGTTCAATTCCACGACTTCAAATACCCCAGTGTGATTTGTCACGCCTTTAGTTGTTATCCCCAGGAGAGCTAACAGAAGGCGTGGAAAGCATCAGGCGGGAGTTTTCTCACGTGACCCAATTTTTAAAATTTTCCCGGCGAAAAGGGCAGCTGAACCTTAACCTCGTCAAAACATTTTCTTCTTTCCCGCCGTTTTATCATTTTCATTGCAACATCTAATCTTCTTCATCTACAAATTAATTCATCAAATTAGCCATAGAAGAAAAAGTCCCAGAAATATTTGAAGGAAAATAGGAAATGGGCATCAAAGATCTGCTTAGATTCATGAAACCCTATATTGAACCCATTCACATTGAAAAATACGCCGGCCAAAGGGTAATTGATTTCTTCCCCCTTTCCCCTTTTCAATTAGGCTCGATTTCTCGTCCCACATTATTCTGAAATGCTGATTTGTGCTCCGGTTTTATTTTATTGCTGTTTGAAGGTTGGAATTGATGCGTATTCATGGCTTCACAAAGGAGGTAAATTTGAACTTCCTTTTATGTTTTCACATTTTCTATTAATTAGATAATGTGGTATTTCTAATTCGGTGTTGGTGCTGATTTATCGTGGGAAATCTGTTACTTTTAGCTTATTCTTGTAGTATGGAGCTAAGTCTAAACACAGAGGGTCAGAAGAAATTTCAGTACTTGAACTATTTTATGCACCGGATTTATCTACTTCGCCACTATAAGGTTACTCCTGTTGTTGTTTTTGATGGAGGAAGTATGCCCTGCAAGGCAGCTACACAGGACGAAAGGGAAAGGTGATGTCTTGATGCCTGTTTCCTGGCCTAATGTATGAATGTCATTTGAAATATTGTCTTTTCATTTTGTTTGTTGAGCCTTTATATGTTGGGGGTTTTGAAAGTTGCAGTTCCTCTTCTTGATATGGTTCTTTTAGGAGAAGAAAAGAAAATCGTGACTTAGCCATGGAGAAGCTTAAGGAAGGAAATGTTTCAGCTGCAACTGAGCTATTTCAGGTGCCAGTCTATCTAGCATTGTGATGCACTTCTTATTAAGTTTTAAGTATGGATTTTCCACTTTCATAATTTAAGTTACAATTGAAAAGTTCACTAATTAGCTACTCAACTCCAAATGAGAAGAATTCATTCATCTTATTCGTCATGGTTATTAGTAAACTCAAAGATTTGTCGCTTGATTCCCTTTTTGGGGATGGCTATAGATTGCAATATTGAACTCAAGGTCTAAGAGAAAGGGGTTAAAGTAATGGATCATTTGTTTCTGTACCAATCTGTATAGATGATCTAGAACTTTGCGCCAAGTACGATCTTGGTAATTACTAGATGCTGGAACAAGTTGGTCTTTCACTTTACATTCAAGAATGAAAATCATACACTCCATTTCTACTGTGTCCCCACTCCCCATATGTGCAAATAAGAAAACTTTACCAAAGGTGATACAATCTTTTGTCTTTGCTGTTTAGTTGCTATACCGTTTTGCCACGTGCAACTTCTCCAAGAACCCATATTACTGGATAGTTACAGATCAATAATCATTTCTGCTTTACATGTTATGTAGAGGGCAGTGAGTATCACACCATTCATGGCACACCAGTTGATTCAGGTATTGCAAACTGATCTTAATCTCATATCATTGTTTTTAATATTGCATCATCACTCTTCATTGACATTCTAAAAATGTCTAAAAACTCATTTTGAAATATTCTTTCCTTCTCTGATCATGCATTTCTGATACACTGAGTCGCACATCTTCCAAAAGCATCTTACTTCTTCAACTTTATGACAGCTTCATTTTCCAAATTGATTTGATCAAAACCCATAACAAAGTAAATCGACTAATATCTTTTATACACGAGGTCTGAAAACTCAGTTATCATTTCTAGTCAATTGATTTATTACCACATTTCCTTTTGTTGAGTCAACAAGTTGTAGCTTGTAAGCATGGTGAAGTTTTCTTCTTTTTTTTTTTTTTTTTCTAATGAATGTCATCTCCTATAGATTTTAAGATCAGAGGATGTTGAGTTTTTAGTAGCTCCATACGAGGCCGATGCACAATTGGCATATTTGTCCAGCCTTGAAACAGAAAAAGGTGGAATCCAGGCCGTTATATCAGAGGATAGTGACTTGCTAGCCTATGGATGCCCTTCTGTAAGAATCTAAAACTTGACTTGCCATGGAAGATGGATTTCCACTGCTTTTTCCTCCTCTTTTGCTATGAAATAATCTTGCCCTTTTTGGCTAACAGGTCATCTTTAAAATGGACCGATTTGGGAATGGCGAAGAGATAATTCTAGAAAAGGCTTTCAGTTCCACTGATCGTGTTCCCTCTTTCAGGAATTTTGATAAGGAATTATTTACAGGTGATGTGTATCACCTACTTTTGTCTGAAAAAGATTTGGTGGTTTTGAAGTCCAAACGTTAACTTCTCATACACTGACATACATAAGAGAAGTTTTATTATTAGCAAATAATGTGTTCATCCTGGTGATAACACAAACAAATACCTAATCTTTAGTTCTTTAGCATTACAAATTCAAGATAAGACCTGGTAGTTAATGAAGAAAAGATATAACTGAAGTTACTTATATTGTAGGTATGTGCGTCTTGGCTGGCTGTGATTTCCTTCCCTCAATTCCTGGAATTGGAATTGCTAGAGCTCATGGTTTGGTTTCTAAGTATCGGAACTTAGATCGTGTAAGTGAATGCTTGTTCATAAACGCCTCTCTTTTCCTAATGCTGCTAGAAATGAAAATTGTTTCCGTGGATATTTCGTCTAAATGTCACAAGAAGTTTGTTTTTATTTACTGGAAAAACAAAATAAGGAGGTACGGTCACAAGATATAGTTTTGGTGTTACTGATATGCAGTTGACATTCTTAGTCAGTAAATATTACAGTTGATATTGGCCATATCTATTGGGTTTCTACAGGTACTTTCCATTTTAAAGTTGGAGAAAAAAAGTAAAATTCCTGAAAGTTACTCAAAATGCTTTAAAGAATCAGTAGCAGTTTTCAAGCATGCTCGTGTGTACGTTATCTATAAGTTCCCCCCCTTTTGTTACAGTCACTTCTATTCTTGCCTATTCAGTGACTAATGTGCTATGGTCATTGTCCCCTATAGATATGATGGTTCGTTGAAGCTGCTGAAACACATGAATCCCATACCGGATGAGCTTTTGGAATGTTTCAATGAAGGACTTGACTTCTTAGGGCCGTATCCTTCATTTAAGTTTTTATCTTTTCATTTGGTGAGGTTTAAATGTTCTGAACTGTAAATTATTTAGTTTTTACATGGAATCAGTTTGTGATAGCATCCTGAAGATTGTCATTGGCAGCAATGTGTCAGGAGTTATTAGGCTACCAAGAACTCAGGATCTGCACTCTCATGCTTGCTTGTATACACTTCATTCTATTGGTTCTTGGTTGCTCCATCTAATTTTCCTTCCTCCTTTTGTTTGTCCAATTTGCTTAATTGATGGAAAGGTTCAAACTGCAAATTACGTCCTTCTTATCCTTATTGTATCACTTAGTGCTCTTTTTCCAAAACAAATATACTTAGTTTACCGCCTGATGCAGCTAGCCATAAGTTTAGTGCTCCCTCAGTACGTAACTTACATTTCTTTGGCAGATATTTTTTTCCTTCTGTAGAAGCTCTAAGAGAAAAAAGAGAACATTTCTGCATTTGTGGATCAAAAATGATTTCCCTTTTGGTTTCCCTTCACGACATCAGAGAAATGCCTCCTTCAATGGTTACAGGTATTGCTCATGGAGATCTCCATCCCGGCACACTGGAGGCTTTTAATGAATCTCCAGATTCTGGTCATGTAAATCTCACCAACAAATTCAGAGCTGATAGGTTGGAGAGAAAAGAGAAGCCTACTCTATCTTCACAAGAAGGCTGCTTTGCTGTAATATCATCAGGGAAATACAGAAAAGAAACCACAGGCAAGTTTTCTATGTAATCATTTAAAGGGAAGGCCTACTCTATCTAGAAGAAAATTTAGCTTGCATATCGGTGATATATATTAAGAGAGTGTCATGATTATCAACCTCAATTAAGTGTTAAGACCAAAAATTCTAATGGTACTCTGCGTACTTCAATCAGTAATGCTGTTGTCTTATTTCAGCGGTGAAGCAGAAGCAGATCTCTTCTCTTGCAGAAGTGACGCATGTAAATGGAGCTCTTGAGCTTGAAAAGCTAATGCTACCTTTGGACAATGAACCAGAGAAAGAATACGGAACAATTCAAAAAGAAGACCTGAAGCTTCCGGATAACAACCCTTTCAGGAAAAGGAAAAGGGAAGAAATTCAGCTAGAGGAGACAGAAAGCACAGTTGAACAAGTCTCAGTGTTGACTGAAGTTGAAACATCAGAAGTTATTCGTGCGACTCCAGATTCCCAGCAGAGTGTGGAATCTAAGCCAATAAATCTTACCAATAAGCACATACAAGCACGGAATGTGAAGAAGGTGAAACAAAATAATTCCCTTTGTACAGTTCAAAAGAACGGTAGCATCTTAAACTTCTTTTCTCGAGTATGATTCACTCTTGTATATGTAGGAGTATCTGAATACTACTTGAAATTTCTAACCCCATTTTTCATCCATAGTTCAGAATTTGGTAGGTACATCAATTTTGGAAGATGTACAAGATGACTGCTAAATGAAGGCTTTTTGCATTTCTTACTCCATTTCTGCTTCTGGGACAAAGACATACTGCATCAGCTGTGAACCATTCTTTTTTGCACTGACAGTGACATATTAGAGTATTTCGGATAAACTGTTATGCTATGATCCTTGCTAATTACTCGATGGATTAAGACACAATAGAAAATGGACACTGAAATATCATTGCACAAAATTTCATTGAAGAGTTCAACAAAACCAGAGAATTCATAACAGAAAGTGAGATAGTAAAGCTTAAGGGAAAAAGATTGTAGCAGCCTTGGATACCGAAGAGGTTTATTCATATGGCTAGCTACATTTGGCTAAACTAATAAGAAAAAGGAACTGTAAAACCATCTAGTGGTTTCGGTCCAGTAATCTCTTGAACCAGTAGGCTGACATCTTGGGGTATCTCTTCAGAGTCTTGAAGTCCACATAAACTAGGCCGAAACGCGAAGTATAACCCAACCTCCACTCAAAGTTGTCTAGTAATGACCAAGCGAAGTAACCTATCACATTTGCTCCATCATCAATAGTCTTTCTCAGTTCAGCCAAGTAGCCCTTGTAATAACTGATTCGTGATGTATCGCGCAAGCCTTCGTGAAGCGTGATATTTCCTGGATCATCCCTTCCTGCGTATCAAAAGGAAAAAAAAAAGGAAAGTACAGAATGATGTCAGTATGAACTTCAAATGATAATATTGAAAAGATTTCTTGATTTGGCAAGAAGTCATTCTTATGATCATACCATTTTCTGCCAAAATTATTGTAGGACTCTTATAGTTCTCCTTAACGTACATAATAGCTTTGTGTAGACCCCACGGAACATCATAGAGCCAGTAGGAGAATGCCTACAGTTGTTGCAAAAAAGAAATCAGTCCAATGATTCATCTCTCAAACACTTGATTAAATGTTGAACAATGTGTAATACTACAACTAACCCTTGGGCCAATTGGCACTCCATTGCGGTCATCTGCATATTTTGCATCAAAAAACACGATTAATATAAGCTAGAAACTGAGATTTGATGAATGTGGAACTGAGGCAAAAAAAACCAAGGAAAGGGAATGAAGGTCAAACTTACAAGCAAAACCAACGTTCCAGTCCTGCTGATACCCGAGATCCTTAGGCTTTCCTTGGTGTGGATCATACATGTAGTAAGCAGTATACTGATTTATTCCCACATAATCAAAAGAGCCTTTAACCATCTTAACCTCTTCTGCAGAGAACTTGGGCAAGCGATCGGCAACAATGTTCTGTAAATTTTTCGGGTATTCACCATATACAAGGGGATGCAAAAACCTGCATGGATGATGAAAAAGAACCTTTAACCACTCAAAAGAAGCATCACACAATTAACAATGAGACTCAACACTTGTGAGTAATTGCCTTTTTTAGGTATCAGTTTCATATAAATAGTTTAGTGTTGGCAATCTTACCATCCAATATGGAAGTCTCTTGCTCTCTGCGCCGCGGCAATGTCATCTGTCGAAGTTTCATTAAGAGGCTCATACCACACAAAATCTAGAAGGATACCTATCTTTCCCTTCTGCTTTTCCTGCATTTACATATCACTTACAGTAAGTACATATGCTCATCTATCCAAAAACAACTGATTCACAACCCTTGTCTATCAAAATGAAAGAACAAATACCTGATACTTCTCGCGGTATCTCTGTGCCGCGGATGCATGACACAATATAAGATTGTGTGCAACTATGTAAGGCTCTGTAGCAGAGTTTCCTTCTGTGCAGTTGCCAAATGCTTTGGAACACCTTCCCGGGGCGAAGAATCCATTGTCATATCCAAGAGCAGCTATGACTCTAGGCTCATTAAATGTAAACCAGTTCTTCACTCTGTCACCAAATGTCTTGAAACAAAACTCTGCATAATCTGCAAAATCTTTCCTGCATAGCTCAAACATAAATTCAACTCAGTTTTCTGAAAAAATGCAAGAAAAAGTTGCATGATCACTCAAAAATGGGCAGGCACTTAGAAAACTTACACAACTTTATGGCTCAACCAGCCATTGTATCTGTCCTGAAGTGCTTGAGGAAGATCATAGTGATTAAGATTGGCATATGGGGTGATGCCTGGAAATCATTCAATCCCTTTTTTGTCACACTTATTATTCCAACCATATTATAATAGTAAACAGGGGAGGGTGCCATTTTTGTATACCTTTTGAAAGCATGTAATCGATGAGTCTATTGTAGTAATCAACTCCCTTCTGATTTACTTTCCCAGAACCATCTGCAGTTAATGCACAGGATGTAAGATAAACTATATTCTAATTCTTTTTAACAAATTAAAAATTAATATTACTCACTTTGTTTTATTTTAATAATTTACTTTGTTAAATTAAAATAGTTTAATAAAGTGGACTATTAAAATCAAACGGAAGGAATACGAAAGTACTTGGGAAAATCCGTGACCACGAGATTGAGAAGCGGTAGGCATCGAAATTCAACTTCGCCATTAGATCAATATCTTGCTGTTCAAATGAAAGATAAATTTTGTCAAAGTAATAACAAGTGAACCATATTTTACAATTGTTAAAATTATGTGTTAGTAAATCATTTCACTCGATGAATTCCACCAGATATGTTATGTACTTGTATATACAAAGTATAGTTTTTAGTATTTGTCACAACAAAGGTAGTAGTAACCGACACCTCTAAAAGGGTAAGAGGAAAAACGTTTCCAGAAATGATTGATATAAAATCATTGCCAAACGTATCTCCAAAAAAATATCACATTTTTTTTTTTACTGTCCTTTTCAGAAAGCTTCTTTATCCCTTACGATTCTTATAAAATTCTGTGTAAAGTATACCATCCTTCCCGCAAGGAACGTTTTTAACACGTCAATAAATGTAATCTTTTCTGTTAAAGTGTAATAATCACACAAATCAGTCGAAAATTTCCGTCTAATTATTCATCCAGCCTTCAAAAGAAAAAAAAAAAAAAAAAAAAAGAACGCACACACACAGTGATACCGAAAGAGCGAAAATTTTCACCTTGTATTTGTGGTACTGGTCCACAGTCACGTCCCCGGAAGCATTATTGGGTTCCCTTCCTGTTTTTCCCCATTTTCGCACAACCAAATTAAAACAACATTAAAGGAAAAAAGAAAAAAAAAATCAGCAAAATTCAACAACCATGAAAACAGAGCATTAATGATACTAACCGGGTTCTTTGATGAAGGTGTCCCAAATGCTAGGACCACGGCCATCTTTAGCAGCCATGCCTTCAACTTGGTAAGCTGAAGTTGCAGTTCCATAGATAAATCCCTTTGGAAACTTCTTCCTCAGGAACCCGTTTGGCGTCTTAAAGTGATATCTCTCCGGCTCAATATCAGAAGAAACAGAGGAAGACGAAGAAGAAGTAGAAGCAGAAGCGTTAATTACTAACAGCAGCAATGCTGTAGTAATTGAGAGCAGAAAAACACTCATAAACCTTCCCATGGTGTTTCGTGTTGAATTGTGTGTGTTAGAATTACGTGATGAATACCTGAATTTATAGGCGAACCAAAAAAAAAGAAAAAAAGGAGGATAAAATTGAGGGACTGTAATTTCCAAATGGATAAAACTTTGGACAATGTAATCTTGAAATAATTGTACACTACGTTGGTTACGTAACAGGACTCTAATTATTAGTGGTGGTGTGATTCACGCGCTGTCCTGATTGGTTGTGTGATTTTTAACGAGATTACCTGTCGTAACAAAAATAAATAAATAAAATCATAGTTAATGAATTAGTAGTATTTGTTTGTGACTATTATATCAATCATTAATGTGGGTTTTGTGTATATACAGCGTAATCTGATTGTGGATAATGTTATAAAGTTTATAATATAAGATAGGAAAAAAGAAAAGGTTTAATGAAACAGAAATCTTTAAAAGCTTTGGTAATTAAAATTACTTTATTTTGTCATCAAATTTCTCCTTAAACAGAAGTCTAAGTGGCATGCACCTGAATTCCCTAAAAAGTTGTGGATAAAGTCAATTATTATGTTGGATAATAAAGAAAAAAAAAATTAAAGCAAGAAAAAAAAAACTTTTACGATAAGGGAAGCTAGTTAATCGAATTGGAAAAATAATATTAATTGGAAATATTGCAGTCCATAGTTTAATAATTTCCGTCATTTCTCAGGATAGTTCTTTTGATCCAACCACTTGAAGTCTTGAACCATCCTATAATCTACGGAAGTCTAATTTAACTTCAATTGTCATGTGACGAAGTTACGTTTCAGACTAAAGAAGAGTAGACAAATTTTATTCCATATAAGGTTTTTCATGTTATCTGATCGTATATATATGCCTGAGCTACTTTATTATTATTATTATTATTTTTAAAAAAATGAATAAGTCTCCTTCGCAAATTTTTAAGAATATATTCAAAACAAAAAGCTAAACTAGGTTGAACCTTAGACATTTTTTTTCATCAACAAATATCGCATTGTAAATATTCTCTCTATTCCAGAAAAATAGTTCTGCATGAGTTTTGATATTTGATAAGTATCTGAAAATTCAACGTGGAATTTTTTTTTTTTTTTTGAGTATAACTATTTTTTCATACATTTGTTGTATCCTCGTAAAAGTAAAACATACTTCCTCCGATTCTATAAATTCAAAAAATTTGCATCGCATAAGTAGGATCAGAGACAGTACTAGTATCTCTTCTTGAAAATCTAACTTATGATGATTGGTCCAACATTCTTTTCTACTAAATTCAAATTAATTTAACAAATGCGTATTAGACTAATTTAACTATAATCTTGATTTAATCCCGAAAATGCGCGCAATATATACCCCACAAAAAAAAAATCAAATAATATCATTTTACCTTTTATGTTTCACATAAATAAGAAGTCAAGGCTTAGAAGCTAGCCAATCTCATAGAGGGTATTGCCTACAAAATCATCACTGCATAAACGACCTACAAATTCTGGAGGGAAGGTTTGGCAAAAAGAATGCAGTCCCATAAGATATGAAAACCCTAATTTAACTAGAGCATCCACCGTTGTATTGGCATTTTTAGGAACAAAAACAAAGGGTTGAAAGGGGTCGTTTTGCATCTTGACTTTTGAGTGTTAACGGATATAACAAAAAATCACTTAAGTGAATTTGTGAAGCTATCATATATACGAAATAAATAAACGGAAAAGTATGGCTTTTCCCTTGGGAACTCAGAGTCTCAGACAGGCGAAAACAGACAGAGAACCAGGCCACCCCCGGAAACAAGGTTGGCCGTCAAGTTGCATACGTTGCTGTAGTAATAAAACATGAATTATGGTACCATTTGCATCTTCTAGAGGGACCACTTTTAGCATATCAAAGCAAATCATTTTTGTGAAAAAATCATACACCCCTTTTCAAGGGAGAAAAATTGCAGTGCTTAATTATTATTTTATAAATTATTAGAAAATAAAAAAAAAGGAAAGAAAGAAAGAAATATAAAGTGCCATGCTCTTGACTCTGTATCATATGACGGAATTTTGAGTAATGCAACTTGATTTGCCGGCCATATTTGCTGGTGTGATTCTGTAGCTCTGTTCTGGTCTGGAACGGATTTCTCTTTGTCTGGGCCCTGGGGACTACTTGCTGATGTCTCATTCCAAACCAACCTAATTTTCAGTCCTTTTTTTTTTTTTTTTTGTTTTCCCCCTTAACCAATATATATGAAAATAACTGAAATATCATGCAAAATACTACTAGCAGGAAATTACTGCATTTGAGTACTTGATAAATACTTTAACCAACAAGTATTTAATCCAAGTTACAACTGCAGTGAAGTATGACCAAAGTTTGGAACCCACCTCCTGATAGAGTATAAATCCGAATTGATTAACCGGCTTGAATATCTACTGTATAATACTTTTATACAATATCTGAATGAAATGACACATAAAATGATATCTGAGCACTTATATATATTCTTCCTTATGTTCGAAAAAAAAATCACTTTGAATTTTGAAATTTATACGGTGTAAATTATTTTTTTAGAGACATAATGAATACACCGTATAAGGGAGGCATGATTTATACAGTGTTCGTTACGGATGAAAAGAAAAGCAGTGGTGCATATAAACGTCAATGTAGACGACAAAGGAAAAAGTGGTGCATGCAGCCATGCAGGGACTGCCCTCCAAGGTTGACTCATATTATATCATCAAAAATTTCCTAAATTTAGTGGTATTCTATCAAAACAAATTGTCCCAGTTACTTAAAGGCATAACGGCCTGTCCGCAAATTTTGGTCCCTGGCTGTTAAAGATTCATCACGCAAATCCCTCGAATAAAAGAAACTCTTACGTACGTAGTAATTAATATGAATCTTCATTGTCACAGTACTATGCATCCATCTTTTAGTCAGTCTAATTTTATAAAAAATGTAAATTTAAATTAGTTCAGCTTAACTTTCAGTCTTATATAGTACATATGCATGTATAAAACTAAGTATAGAATTAATGTTTCCCTATATTATTTTTCCATTTTAAAAGTTAATGTTTCCCTACATTAACTTTCCATTTTTCCAGCCTCCCTCTAACAGCCGCCTTCTACTGGAAATCTATCAACCCTCCCCCGACCACCATAATTGGTAGTCGGGGGAGCCAATTTCGTTTTCCTTTTCTCTCTTTCATCCTTTTTCTTGTTGACAGATCCGGCGCTCCTTCTATCCTCCGCTGCAACAGTTCCAACCAAATCAACCCGGCTGCGTAAATCAGAAGCTCTCGCCGCTCACGCGGTCTCCTCATCGAAAGCTGATAATATGACTACTGGAGAACCCATCTGTGTTGACAGCGCAGATCTCTCGATCTGAATCTGGTAGTCTAGTCAAGGTGTCACAGACTTACTTCTTTCAAGTAACGGCCGTACGGCACTAGCACTTGAATAACCAAGAACGTGCTAGCTCAGCCTTAAGACCCACAATTCGTGCAAAGCTAGGCAAAACCTCAACGAACGTACGCAAAGAAAGCTTAAGGAAGTTAAGAATGATGTAGGCACAAAGAAAGAACGGAGAGCTTGAAGTATGCTTGAGAATGCTTCACTCAAACAAATGATGGAGGGCTTGGGGTATTTATAGACTAAGTCCCCAAGTCCATAGAATTCTAGAGAATTCTATACAAGTATTAAAATATAGAAGTTTCTAGGGAATTCTATACATGAAATATTCTAAATTCCAAAGAATTCTAGAATTCTCCAGTCCGTTCCCGGTCGACCTAGCAAACCTCGGGAAGGTTCCAGAAACTCTCAGGAAGCTCCCCCACATTTCCAGCAAAGCCCGGTTGCTTCCAGACAATTCCAATTCTGCGTGGACTTACCCGAGTTTTCCAGCATGCTCTAGAACGTTTCGTTCCTTATCCCGGTTAAGGAAACGACCCGTTTGGCAGCAAACCTCATAAACGTAGGAAAGGAACGACCTAACCCGAGAACGGGAAAACGGCCGTGACATCCTCCCCCAGCAAAACAGTGCATCGCCCTGATGCACATTAAGATTCGAAGGCAATGTTGATGGGAACGGGTGCACGATTCTCTTCAAAGTCCTTGATTAACTTGGTGAATTGCCAAAGCTTCTCGATTGGCTCCCAACTCGTCTCACTCATTGGCAAATTCTTCTATTTCACCAACTATTCTTTAGTTGCTGCCCCGCTCTTGCCCCGAACGATCTTCTTAGAAAAGATCTCCTCTGCGGTCCGTTCCTCGTGCTCGCTTACGCCAGCAGGTGCCCTTGAGGAAACGTTCCGTTTTTCGTCCTCCGGGTCCTTGTGGTATGGCTTAAGTAGGCTCACATGAAAGACCGGATGAAGTCTTGAAAGGGCCTTGGGTAGCTCCAGCTTGTAAGCAACGGAACTTACTTTCTTAAGAACGGTGAAAGGACCCTCGTATCTGCGCATGAGACCCTTGTGTAGACCACGGCTCCGTCCATGCTCATAAAGCTTCACCAAGACTTGGTCGCCTTCTTCAAACTCGCGACGGGTCCGTTTCTTATCCGCCCATTTCTTCAAGCGCGTGGCCGACTTCTCCAAGTAGAGCTCTGCCTTGTCGGCCCGTTCTTGCCAATCTTTGGCAAACTTGTAAGCGGGTGGGCTATTGCCCTTGTAGCCCCCAAGAATGTCCTTAGGTGTAGTCGGTTGGAAACCAAGAACAATCTCAAACGGACTTTTGCCTGTGCTCTCGCTCCGCATCAAGTTATAGGAAAATTGGGCAACGTCTAGCAACCGTACCCAATCTTTCTGGTTGGCTGCCACATAGTGCCTAAGGTACACCTCGAAGAGGCCATTGATGCGCTGCGTCTGCCCATCCGTTTGTGGGTGCAAAGATGTAGACATCTTGAGCTCCGTCCCAAGCAAACGAAAGAGTTCTTGCCAAAAACGGCCGGTGAACCTCGAGTCCCTGTTGCTTATGATCGATGTAGGCAGCCCCCAATACTTCACCACATGCCTAAGAAACAGTTTGGCCGTT